AAAGGCCACCGAGTCCAACGTCCTGCTCAAGACAAAGAGTCCGAATCAAAGTGGATCTAACAAGATGGTTCTAGTTCTCTTGAAGGCCTTCTCTGTTGGCAGCGGTCCCTTGAGGTCCTTTCTCTCCATGGTCATACTGCTTTTAACAGTTAAGACGTTTTCCACCACCCCGACTTTCAGCCTAAATCCGACTCCCTGTCGCTGGAGTCCATTTATGACACGTCCTGCCCACTGGGAAGATCCAGAACAGATTCTGCCTCTTCTTCTGTAGGGAAAAAAAACACAAGTATTTGAAAAGCATGATCCTGTCACACCTCTGTCTTGTTTTCCCAAGGCTCAACAGGCCCCATTCTTTCAGGGGGGGAAATGCCACAGAAGAGGACGGTGGGGGTGTGTGTGGAGGAAGAACATGAATTTTTTAAATAACTGGACATAAACTGTTCAGATACTTTATTTGAATGCCTTGGCTAGGAAGAGCTGCCCGGGGGGGGGCTGCTTTGTGAGGGGAGGGCAAGGAAGGCCGCCGGTCTCAGCTGTGGGGGGGAGGGCGGAAATCTTCCTTCCCGGGCGATCCCTTCATCTTGGGACTGGATCACGACCGATTAAAGCCTCTTTTAACAGCTCTTTTCCCTGCTGTCCGTGTTGGGAGGGCTCCAGAGCCCCTCTCGTCCAAGCGTGGCCATCAATTTCCTCAGCGTCGCTCCACCCGTCCATCCTCTCTTTCTCTCAGCGCGAAGGCGGCGACGCGCGAGGAGACCCGTTGCCCTCAGCGGAATGTGGGGCCTCCGGGCTTTCCCGGCGGTGTCTGACAGGACACCGCACGGATTATTTTGTTTGGGGGGGAGGAATGGGGCGGGCAGGCGGGAGCTCCACACGGCGAGGCGAGGGGCGGCTCACACACAGACACACACACACATATCCCTCCAGACCGCCATCTTCCCCTCCCCCGCCGCCATTTTGGCGCGGCAGGCCAGGCCGAGGGCCGCTTCCTAGCAACAGGCCTCCCATAAGCCTCTGCGGCTTGAAGGCTCCTCCGTCTCCGGCAGCCGCGCGCATCCGGCCAATCAGCACGTAGCCCTTGCAGGGCCGGAACGTGGGCCGACAGAGTGATTGCCCCGCCCCGAACTCATTTCTGAATCGTCGTCCAATGGCACCTAGGCGTTGGGCTGACGTCACAGAACTCCGGCGCTTGCGCCATGTGCCGCACGTACATCGGCCTACCCAGGGGCGCAAAGGCCGTGTGGCAGGGAGGGGGGGAAGAGGAAGGACCCGATCTCAGGGCTGCGCTCCGAACCCTCCCCTTCCGCCTCGTCTCCCCGCCCACGCAGTTCTGTTTTTTTCCAGCCCACCCGTGGTTTCTCGGCCAACCCAAATCCACGACGTCTGGCTTTCCGCCTAATAGACAAGGC